AGGCCCAGATGTGAGAACAGGACAGGCAAATAACCAGGCAGCTCTGGTTCACGTGACAAGCGATCAACGGGGGCTCAAGGGGTTGTGGAATCCAGCACGGGGCCCTGGAATCAGGCGGAGAAGGTTCTAGAAGGAAGGAATGTGTGAGCAAAGGGCTGATGATTGGAGCTGACATGGCTCATGTTGGAGGACTTGGTAACCCCTCTTACATACTCTGCACTCCACCTCATGGAGTGCTAAGGAGGGGTCCAAACTCCTCTCTCTCTGGGCCCTGGGACTACCATGGGCTCAGACGACTGGTCCAAGCTCCTCTCCCGCTAGGCCTGGGACCCCCTACAGACTCAAGCAGACCGTGGTAAAGGTGTCCGCTTCCTGCCCTTTGAGTCAGCTCTTTCTGTGCCCGCCATGGTCTGCACTTTCCTCCCAGACATCCTTTTGCAGGCTCCACCAGATGAGGTCTTACCTCATGAACCCAGGGCTGGACAAGTGCACATTCTCATAAAGGTAAATAGAGCCAGCGGGATGCAGAGACAGGCAATGTGCACACAGGGAGCCTACCTCCCAACCCGATGCCTCCGAGGCCTGCCCCCTGCCCACCTTTTAGGGACCAATCCAAGCTTTCTTCCCCTCACAGCTGCAGCCAGAGGTGGGGGGAGGCCCAGGTCCAGCCAGTAAAGACAGAGCAGAAAACATTTCTCTGGTCTCCAGGGTCAGCACAAGAATTCCAGCCCCGGCATAGGATTTGGCATGTAGAAGATGCTCAATAAATATTCCCTGAATAAAGGAAAGAAAGACAGAGAGAGGGGGAGAGGGGGAGAGGGAGACAGAGAGAAAAAGAAAAGAAATAAAGGGAAGGAGGGAGGAAGGAAAAGAAAAAAAAAGGAAGTCACAGAGTTTTTTCTCTGCCACAATAAAGATGGAGAAAAACACAGGCCATGTTTGATAGTCGTGGGTTCAAATCTCAGTTCAGCCTTTTACTAATTTACTGCAAATCATCTTACCTTTCTGTGTCTCAGTTTCCTCATCTGTAAGATGGGGATAATCATAGCAACAAATCACCCTAAGCTAAGGAATGACTAAACAGGATGGTCTCCAAAAAGTGCTGATAAAGAAGATGATGGGGGCTTCCCTGGTGGTCCAGTGGCTCAGAATCCACCTTCCAAATCAGGGGTTGCGGGTTCAACCCCTGGTCAGGGAACTGAGATCCAACAGGGCAACCTAGCCCAAGCTCTGCAACTACTGAGCCTATGTACCCTGGAGCCTATGCAACGCAATTGAGACCCAATGCAGCCAAATAAATTTTTAAAAAATTTAAGAAAAAAAAGAAGATGATGATGATGGTGATGGAGAAGATGGTGTATAACAGGCCTAAGCCCTTGGCACATGTCAGACTCAGCTCCAAGACCCCCTCTACGAATCAGTATCTTTCGTCTTTGCAGCAACTCAGGGAAATATTTTACAGATAAGGAAACTGAGGCACAGAGAGGCTAAGCAACTTGCCAAAGATCACGCAGTTGATAAGCTGTACATCACAAATTCAAACCCAGGCCGAGCCCATACTCCAAATGCATACTACAGGACCTGGCATGCAGTAGGAACTACTAGGGGGCGAGTCCTCTGCCCACTGGGCAACTGTCTTCTCTCCCAGGGCTGAAAAGAAGAAGGTGTTAGTTGCTCGGTCATGTCTGACTCTTTGCAATCCCATGGACTGCAGCCCACCAGGCTCCTCCGTCCATGGAATTCTCCAAGCAAGAATACTGAGTGGGTAACCATTCTCCAGGGGATCTTCCTGACCCCAGGACTGAACCTGGGTCTCCTGCATTGCAGGCAGACTCTTTATTGTCTGAGCCACCTCCCACTGGATGATGAGCATTTAAGAGTGGGGCTGCTGGATCCTGTCTTCTGGTCCCCAACCTGGGGCTGGACCCATAGAAGTGATGCCTTGATAGGTGTGGCATCAACAAGGGTATCACTCTTGTCATGCCCTTTAGAGGGATAAGAGTGCTCTGAAATCAGGTTGCCTGGAGTTGAACATCACCACTATTTACTGGCCCCAAGCCTCAGTTTCCCCAACTATCAGAGGACGTAATCAGAGTGCCCAAGTCATATGGTCTTGTGACTTAGACCAGGATGTTCAATGCTGAGCAAGGTAGCAGGTGAGAGCTCAGTGGATGCTGGCCATCGTTATTATTATTATTTTTGTTGTTCTTCCTTACTCCTGCCAGGATTCCCAACAGGACCCTGGCTTTGCAAGGACCAGCGATCCTCCTGGGCAAAGAACAGTTAACCAAACTCTTTTTGACAACAGGCAACTTAACTCCCATCTCAGATGCTAAGGCAGAGGCCGATGTGGATGGAACATGAGATCGGCCCTGGGCCACGTACTCCCCAAAGAAATGGCCAGAGCTTTCACCCCCAACTCTTTCTTCTCCCACCTTCCAGAGTGGTGGTCATAGATACGGTGAACCAAGATCAGCCTCAAGTGGGACCGGGGTTGGGAGGGTGTCGAGAGCAGGTGGGTTGGGAGGGTGTAACACAAACCTTCTCAATCTCTCTTGCAGACAACACTGAATCTGCCCTTTGACTTCCCCAGAGGCCCAGAGAGGTTAAGGTCCTGGGCCAGTATCACACAGCTTACCTGGCAGCCAGTTGGATAAGTTCTGGAGGTTCCTGACCCTGCAGTGCTCACCAGCCCAGCCCAGGGTCACTTCTTAGGGGCCAGCGGGTGATGAGGGGGTAGCCTTTCGCATGGGACTTGAACCACAAGCCAGGCCAGAGCCTCCAGAGTGGGGAGGGTGGGGAGCCAACAGGTGGCAGGATCGGGTACCAGGCTCTGCTCCTTTGCTCCCCAGTGAGGATCAGTTGCTCAGAGAAGGGGAGGAGGGCCAGGATCCAGCCCGGGAAGGCACTGGAAAGCCATTTCTCCAGTGTCAGCCGAGGGCTCCCCCAGCCCCAGTCTCCTTTTCTCTCTCTGCCTGACTTCTGGCTCCAGTCCTTTCTGGCTGCAGTCTCTGCATTTGTCTGTCCCTGTCTGTGCCAGCGTTGCTTTGCCTCATTCCGTCTCTTTCTGTTTCTCACGCTATAGCTCTCCTCTCTCTGCGTCCTGTCTCCCTGTCTTCCCCCCTCCCTTTTTCTTGTCAATCTCTCCATGTGTCTCCCCCGGTTTCTGCCTCGCTTTTGATCTGGCTGTGTTTCTCTCTGCAATCCAAGGCCTTTCTCTCTCCCGCCCTGTTTCTCTCTTGTTTCTGCCTTTCCTCCTCTACCTGCTCCTCTTCCTCCGTCTCCGTCCCACCTCTGCCATATCATCCAACTCACCCAGGACAGAGAATAGTTCTAGGGAGGGGGGAGAGTGACCCAGCAGCGCTGGCTGGTCGGCTGGAGGACGAGAGAGCGGGGCAGGTGGACAAGAGGCTACTGAAAAGGTCTGGGCAGGGGAGGGCAAGGTCTAAGCCCCGTGAAAGCTACGTGTGGAGGAGAGGACAGTTCTGAGAACAAACTGCAAAGGAGGGGGCTTCGAGGATGCTTTGGGGCTTGGGAGGAGGGCCAGCAGCTGGGAAAACGTCCAGGAGGGGAGATGAGGAAGGGAGGGCAGGGAGTGGAGTGGGGGGACAAGAAGGGGCAGATGTTGAGACCTGGGGCCAGCTTGGGGAGAGCCTTGAATGCTGACCAAGAGCCTGGACTTCAGCCCATGGGGCGGTGGCTCTTTAAGTGAATCTGATGAAACTCCAGAACTCTCCCCTGAGAAGAGTACATGGCCGATGTTTGGCACCCGGCAGGTCAAGGCTTCTGGGACCCTGAAGTTCTTCCACGAGCCACATACAGCCCAGGACACAAAGTTGGTTCCGGGCTGGGGAGCCAATGAGGCTTTCTGAGCTGGGGCAGATGGCAGGCGTAGAGTCTCACTGTGGGACGGTGACTCTGCCGCAGGGAGCCTTCATTGTGCAGCAGAAGGGCCTCTGGCAGCCTGACTCACTAGGCCCCCGTCCTCCCAGAGTGTCCACTGCTTCCTGGAGGCTCTGCAGGCTGCTTGGACCTAACACAGGGGAGTGGGTCTGAGCCCCGAGCCAGAGTGGCTACAGCCCAGGATGCTCAGCGTCAGAGGGAAGGGCTGGGGCCCTCTCCCCACTGCTGACAAGAACCCATGGTCCTGAGCGCCTGGGCTTGACCCAAAAAGACGGGGCCCTCTTGGATGATCTGACCAGCCTTTTGGATGATCTGACCAGCCCAGGGACCTGAGACAGTAGCCCTACTCTGCCAGGCTCAGCCTAGTCCTGTCCCTTTCTTCCTACCACCCGCTCACCCACCTCCTGTCTTGGATGCCCTGGGTGGAATCTCTGCCTCCAGAGACAGCACTCATTTAGGCAGGAAGCAGGCCCAGGGTGGGTGTGGCTCTTACTCTGCCAGCTGGGCCAGCCTGGGGTTTGCAGTAGCACCCTCAGTCCACTATTCCAACACCCATTTCACAGATAGGGAGCCTGAGTCCAAGAGAATGCTGAGACTTGCCCACCTCTTCTGCAGGTTGGTGACCCAAGCTTGCCATCAGGCTTTCAACCCCAGGGCTGTCCTGCCTGTGCCAAGAGGAAACCTGCACAGCACCCGGTGCCCCCTCACCTAAAAAGCCCAGGGCGTGTCCCCGTCCTGCCCTTCACTCAGGCTGCCCAAGCCAGTTGGAGGGGAACGCATTGCAACCATTTGTTAAGTGCCCGCTGTGTGCCAAACACTTGACATCATGACCCACCACGTAGGTGACAAGTTGCCACGTTGTGTACATGAGGAGGCAGAGGCTCAGAGGAAGTTAAGTAAGTTGCCTGTGCTTCTCCTGCTAGGAACCGACAGAGCCAAGGTTAGGCCCCAACTGCACCCAACTGCAAAGCCCAAGGCTTTCTTCCACAGCCCATCCTTTTCTCCTCCTGTCATATCAAAGGGGCATCGAATCGGCTTCCCTGGAAGCTTGGGAGACCCAGGAATCTGTCCCTAAAACCAGAGGTCCAGGAGCCCACCTAGCTCCCAGAAGACGAGCCAGGGGTCAGATTTAGCAGCCAGGAAGGCCCTCAGCTGCTTCCTTTCCATTAGGGGAGCAGGCGATGCCCAGGAACTGGGTCTCCACGGTTCTATGAATAGCCCTTCCATTGACTTGCTCTGCGCCGTGGCCGCATCGGCTCCCCTCTCTGGTCGAGCCTGTCTCAATCTGGAGTTGTTGGGCTCGTGGCTCCTACAGGGCTATGCCAGCCTGAGTGCCTGCAATTCCTTGGCTGGAAGGAGGTGCCTTGGTGCCCTCTGGGCAGAAGCTTTGCCAAGCTAAGGGTTTGGCATGCTGTCTTTGCCTGCTCTGTTCGAAGGTGACTGTCTTATTCCAACAAGGAGCCGCCCCCAGGGTGGCCCACTCTAAGCCCCAGTGACTCACTTGCAGAGCGAGGGGCAGGCGGGCGGGAGCTGTGGCTCTTGGCGTCCAGTGGAGCCCACGGGCCCACGGGCCCACGCCGAGCGGGAACTTGTGTCAACCACCGGCTCCTATAAATCGCAGGGCTGGGACAAGGTGGGACTGTCGGCAGCCCTCAGAGAGAAAGCTCAGCTTGTGTGCTCCGGGGAGCTGACCCGGGGGGACCCTGGGCCCTGCTCAGGGGCATTAATGAGCACTCCATCTGGAGCCATCCTCAACCACTAGCTGACGCTGACACAGCATTTCGGCCGTGCGAGAGAGCGCGTGTGTGTTCCAAGGCTAGCAAAGGCTCAGTTTTTCCGATCCGGAAAAATCCGTTCAAAGAGAGGAAAATTGAGGATGAGGAACTGAAGATAGCTTAATTCGTGTTTCCTCAGTCAGCGACTCAACTGGTTCACAGCAGTCTATCTCTCTGGATGTCTAACTGGGGAGGCCCAGGGGGAGGGCCATGGCAGGGCCAGAATGGACACACGACTCTTCCACTCCCAGCCCAGAGCTCTGACCATCCTGCTCTACTGCCTCCTTTAGCCAGGGACCAGCCCTGCCCTTGGCCCCAGGGGAGTGTGCACCCTGGGCTTCTCTGACCCTGATCCGCACCCAAGATCTCCTCTCTCTCGACTGCAGCCTGAGTAGATGCTTCTACTAGGAGGCATCCCGGGCGGAGAACCCAGAGTCCTGTCTTGAGAATATAGCACCAGAATCCGCCTGCTAATGCAGGAGACTTAAGAGACGCAGGTTCAGTCCCTAGGTCAGGAAGATTCCCCTGGAGGAGGGCATGGCAATCCACTCCAGTATTCTTCCCTGAAGAATCCCCATGGACAGAGGAGCCTGGCAGGCTACAGTCCATAGGGTCGCAAAGAGTTGGACATAACTGAGGTGACTAAGCAAGAAGACAGAAGGGAATTCAGGAGTCAAACCAGAAAAATAATAATGATCAAAGCTTACGTGGCACTTACGGTGCACCAGCTAGTCCTGTCCTAAGAGCATTGCGTGTTAACTCATTTAATCCTCACAGTGACCTGTAAAGTAGCTAGTCCCATTTTACAGATCAAACTGAGGCACCCCGAGGTTAAGTAACTTCCCCTTGGTCACACAGCTAGACAGGTGTGTAGCCTGTTTCTTGAGCCCATACCACCAAAGAAGATATCATGTGACAAGTTTCTGCTCCTCCTCTGTATCAAGCACCATCCTCAGTATTGAGGGCCCAGTGGTGAAAAGGAGAGACAGGAATCCTGCCCTCAAGAAATCTGTCATTCTTTCCTTTACACATCCATCTATCATCCATCCACCATCCATTCATCATCCAACCACCATCCATCCATCAGCCAAACATCATCCACTCATCCAATCGTCATCCTTTCCTCTATGGCTAGTTTTACTCACTATTGCATCCCCCACGCCTGGCACATAATCCTCAACCAATATTTGTGAAGGAGTGAAGAGAGATTTGGGCCCAGTCTATGAGCTCTGGGTTTGAGTCTTTTACCTTCTCCTAGTCTTAGCGCAGTAAGGAGTCAACAGTGCCCTGCTCACCTCACAGGACTTCTGTGAAGCTCTAAAGGGGAGCAGACGAATGCTTTGCAAACTGTCAAGGGCTATGCAGACATAGTCAGCATCAGGCTCTGCGAGTGCTGGGGCCTGCAGACCCGATCCCTCTCAGGTCTGGCTGGTGAGACCTGTCAGACGCTTCCCCTCGGCCTGCCAAGAGGCCCAGAAAGGAAAGGAAATTGACATTTAATGAGCATCCACGATGTGCCAGGGCTCCACACACTTTAAGCCTGTCTTCTCGTTTCTTGTACAGATCAAAAAAATGGAAGCCCAGAGACGTCCATCATTTGCACAAGGTCACACAGCCAGTGAGGAGCACAATCCAGGTTTGAACCTGGGGCTGTGAGCCCCCAGACGTGTGCTTGTGATGGCACCCCACAGCACCTCCCTTTAAGGGGATACTGCTGCCTTCCTGCATCCCCAGTGTCCTTAAGTCCCCACCGTTCAAGGTCACCCAGCAAGCGCCTGGCAGAGTCTTTACCAAAGTGTTTCCATTTAGTTTTTGCATGGATTATTTCCTTTTTGCTTCATAGGAATTTCACCCCTTTTATTTGTAAAGAAAAGCCAGTGTAAATGTGCTCCATACACATAGATTAACCCTTGTCAGGCAGAGGTGTACTCTGAGCCACCCTTTAAGGCGGGGACGGAAGGGCAGCTGCTGGCCACTGTTTCCTGTTTTCTCGGACCCTTGTGATAGTTCACACACAGATGTAGCTGTGCTTCCAGGAGCCCCTGACTCCCAATTTGCAAGCTTTCTGTGACCCTCAGCACAGGGCAGCCTTCTAGGACCCAAGCAGAAACCATCCCCTGAAACCTAGAGACCAGGGGAACAGTCCTTCTGGAAATTCTATTCTTGTACCTCAGGCTGGGACAGAAAAAGAAACGCCATAGCCACTGTCCTGGGCCACCCACCGAGGGCCTGGCACAGCGCTGGGCACCTCCCCAACATCCTCTCTTTGAGTCTCCTCCACAGGAGAGGTTGGTCTAAACAACCCCATTTTACAATGGAAAGGAAAGCTAAGGCCCAGAGAGGCAGAGTCACCTGCCCAAGACCACAGAGCTGGCCAGGAGCAAATTGGGCACAGGACAGAACCCTTGTTTGTCCGTTGATTTAAGTCGAGGGCTAAAAATAAAACATTGTGCACTTGAAATAGCGAGTCACCTCCTCTGGGCCAGACACCGTCTGCAGTCCTGGGGACCGGGTCCAACAAGAAACTGGGAGAAGCAAGTCCCAGTTCTGCTAAAGACTTGCTGAGTGACCTTGAGTTGGTCAGTCTCCTTCTCTGGGCGCAGACCTCGCCCTGCGTGAGCTGAGGGGACCGAGAATTCGAGTCTTTTGTGCTCTGTCTTATGTGTTGTCTGGGTAACAGTCTACAAAGTAGGATTTAGTGGGTGGGAGAAGCTGGGTGAGCTTTGTGGGGTTGTGATGCCGTGTGGCTGAGAGTTACTAAAAAGCCCCCCTCCTGCCACTCAGAGACCCCCTTACCAACACCCCGAAAGCAAAATGCCCAGAGGAGTTTGGGTGTGGGACTGAAACACTCCATTCCTGACCCACATCACCACGTCAGAAGAACTGCAAGCCCTGGGCCAGACACCAAGGCGGCCTTCCGCACCGGTGGAAGGTGGATGGTGGACGACGGAGGGTGGACAGTGGATGCCCTCTGAGCTCTGCACTCCGGTGATTCCCACCTGCCCTTCTCCTGGGCAGCCCCTTACCCCTCACCCCAAGACCCAGCGCCCCAGCGCCCCAGTGCCTCCAGCCCCTCAGCTGAGGCTCCTCCCGTCCTTGGTTCCAGCTCCAGCAGGCTGTCCATTTAAGGCTCCACCTTACCCCTTTAAATTCTATTTTTTCAAACCACATTCTTGAACTTGGCAGATAACATGGCAGCCCGACAAGAGCCCTATTTACTCGAAGAGCCGTGAATGGGCCCTTTATAACAAGCTTCATTAATATTTCTACCTATTGGCCAGCTCTCCGTTTCCTCCCCCTATACAAACAGATTCTCCACACAGAAAGACTTTTCAAATGCTCTTGTTGACTTTCCCCAAACAGGGAGGGCCGCCGGGCCGGCCAGGGTGTGTGAGTGTGTGTGAGTGTGTGTGCAGGGGAGGGGGCGTCTGTGGGCGTGCGCCCGCCAGCCTGGTGCAGGAAGGAAAGAGGCCCACTATTCATGGGCAGGGGCGGGCGGCCCGGGTGAGTCCAGGTATGCTGCATCTCACAAAGACGCACTGAGCCCAAGCTGCCCCGTGAATTCCAGAGCCCTGGCCGGGGGAGCCGGACGGTCCCCCTTCAGCCCCTGCTGTCGGGCTGGGTGACCCTAGGCAAGTCCCTACTCTCTCCAGGCCTCACCGTCCTTCTTTGTCAGTTGGGCCTACACCCTGTCACTCAAAGTGCAGTCCATACCCCGGCAGCATCAGTGTCACTTGAGAGATGCAGATCCTCTGACCAGATGTGCTGTGTCAGAAGCGGCATCTTAAGCTCCCCGGGTGACCTGTGTGCACAGTGAGGTCTTGGAGGCGTCAGATTCACAGCACGTGCCACCAACAGCACTGCTGTCTGGCCCAAAGGCCATCAGAGACCTTAAACATCATCAAGCCACCAAACTCTCTAAGTTTTCCCTACTTGGTGACCACAGTCCTGGCTTGTAGCTGGAGCACAGGAAATATATGAAGAAAAGTGCATTGTCAAAGTCCAAAGCCTTGTGATAGCAACAGGAAGTCTTCCTCACCAGCATTTGAGAACTTGTGAAAAACAGCTCATCCTGTCATTTGGAAGGTCACGCAACATTGAAAGGGAGCATCTAATATTGCACTGGATGGGATGAGCTCCCTGTCCTTTGGAGGTATGCAAGCAGAGGCTGGAGGGTCCATAAAGGAAGTCAGAGAAGATGCGGAGCCCCTTGTTTAAAGGATGTGCCTCTGGGGCTGAGGAAGGACCACTACAGAGAATGTGGCCCCATCCCAGCGTGCTCACAGGGGCAAGGTGGTGCCTTGGAGACAGAGCCATGCCCTCAAGTACAATGCCCCTGTGAGGATATGGGCATTGTAATAAATGCCTTCACTTCCTTTCCATTTGCTCAGGTGATAAATGTTTATTCCAAGTGTCTGGCCATCTGCTGAACCTTGGGGGAGTGATAGCAAA